CTGCAATGGTAAAGGCAGGATAATTAAATCTGTACTGAAACAGCTGTAATTCATTTATTGTATAGTCAGTGGACAACATTCATTTTTAACAATATAAATATCCCATGTTCGGGGCGGGGAGGGAAGTATTTATTATACTTAAGACAGCAATAGATATGAAAAACCCTACAAGTAAAACTACTGAAGGCACATAAATTTTGGTCCAGTTTTGTTTCCATCCCCCAACTCCCCTGCAATAAAACCCTGAAGTTAAATACCTCAGGAATTACCAGGTCAAAAGGTAAAGGCAAAACAGTGCTTTTTGTAAGAGCTGACTTCTTTGAAAAACAGCAGTACATGCTAAAAGTATCCAGTAACAAGCAATAGGTCCACAACCGTTATAAAAAAATAACTCATCACTTTCCTACAGGCATCATCAGAGGGGGGCTGGGTATTTGATCACACAAACCACACTGGCAGTTTTATCAACAAAGGTGGGTAGTTTTGTCAGCACACAAACACAGGTTTGCCATCTGTAACCAGCATACGTCACATACAGGCAATGCTCTACAACGGGTATGTGGAATCTCTCAGGCAGAAAAAGGACTGTCCTGGTTTGACAGGGCCAGGATAAAAACTGCCTGAAGCCATAGTGACCTGAGCCCTCCTGGGCCTCCAGCAGCTGTTCAGGGGCTGTGGCAGTGACCCTGAGGGCAGCAGCGGTGCCTGTGGGGAGGAGAGGGGCTCAGGTGACCCAAAGGGACTAATTACAGCACTCCTGCCCATAGTGCTCAGTATAAAAGGGCTCCTCAAAAAGCCTTGCCCTGGTCTCTCTGGCTGGTGAGGTGGCTGGGGCTCAGTTTGTTTGTCATTCCTCCCTGTGCGGGTATTCCTGCAGCCTGGAGAAGAACATCACTCATCTAGATAGGTTTCCTTCCCCTGCATCCCTGAGTAGGCACAGCTTAGCTGCTTTGAGTCTTTTGTGGTCTCTCACTGGGACCCTGGACTCAAGCACCCCCATCTGCTGCTGCATCCAGTTTGGGACTTTTCTGGTTGGTAAGTAATTACCAACTCTGGAGCGCAAGTTCCATATTTACATATCTGTACATATTTGGAATCTACCATTATTATTATTACTACTTCATTAAATCTACTCTAGTTTTTTCCTAACCTTAAAGTCTCTGTCCCTTAATCCCCTTTTTGTCTTCCCCTGGGACAGTAATGGGGGAATAATTGGCTAAAACTGTGACAAAGACTCAGTCTATCAATGTACAAAAAAAAAAAGTGCAACTGAGAGCATCAGGAGACAAGGCAACCAAGTCAAATTATGAATCAAAGTTTCAGAAATTTGTTCTCATGTCCAAAGATCTGAAGAAATTAAAAGAAGCAAAAGTTGTACCCTTATGCAACAAGTAAGAGGTCGCTTGAAAAGGCACTACGCTGTTCCCTGTTCCTGGGTTGCTGAAAAGGACTTAACTGTACTTGAACTAAGTATGCATCCACCAAAAAAGCCTGAGCTACAGGCAACCCAGAGCTGATTTGTGAACTTGACATACACAGCAGCAAAGAATGCTACCCTCAACCATTTCCAGTATCTATAGTCAGGATATAACCACTAGTGTTGTAGAGTACAAGTTCCAGGCTACTCTATGCACATCACCAGATGCTTCACAAATTATTTAACTGAAATTGAGAACTATGTTAAAGAAATTACGAAACTAACAACTTCAGGCAACAGTGTACAGAGGTTGGAGCCAAAAACTACTTGGAAGCCACTCAGATAACAGGACAAAAGGCAACAAACATAGGATGCAGTTTGTTAAAGCCTAATGATACAGCAGGAAAAAGAAAAATCACAATGAAGGCAGTCACACATTGAAACAGCGAGAAGAGCAAGAGAATTTGTGAAATCTCCATTCCTGGAAATACTGTAAACATAACTGGACAATTCTCTGGACAATTCAACTGCTCAAAGTTGGCCCTGATCTGAGTGAGAGGTAGGGTTAAGGCCTCCAGAGGTTCTTTTCCAATGTACATCATTGTGAGAATCTGTAGAATAATCCCATCCTTTCCCTAATCCTGCTTTTTTTCACAGATACCAATGGGCCTGCTCAGACATGCTTTAAAGAACTAAGATGCAACTGTGCTTTTGCAGTCAGGCACTAATGGGTCAAGCACAAAGTATAAGAATTATTTCTTCTGTCCTGAGTCTTCATAATGCATTATAATGAACAAGGCGTTTTTGCTTTTAATTATTCAAGGCAAAATACTGAAATAAACTAGCCTCAACTACTACCTTCATTCAGCTATGCAAACATTAAGATGTACTGTTAGTTTTGAAGCTTGTCTGCACTCCTTATAAAAGCAGATCTCCCTCTGACGAAGCATCTTTAAGAAGATACACAGAAATCTAAAAATAAGTTGGCAAGAATAATTCAACTGCAGAAACAGAACAAGAAGAAAGGATAATTAAAAAAAGATATATGATAGATCTATCACAAAACCAAAAGCAAACATCATAAATATCTACCACCTAGATCTTTCTTAAATTATGAACTTATAAATCTCTACTGACTTAAACTGTGGGCTTTTCAAACTGAAAAAAAGTCCAGAGCTGACATTAACTATATATTAAGTTAAAATTGAGAAATTATTCCCTTCTCGTTCTGGGAGCATGTCAGAGGCTCTCATCCCTTTATGTTTGATAAAGCTTTCCCATTTTTTTGCTATCGGAGTCAGTAAATTAGAAGAGATGCAATTCACTTTTTTGTATACACATATACAACACAGACACTATACATACATTGCTTGTGACATTACATGTGCCAGTATCTCTCAAATTGAAGGTTCCTTTTTTCCTGCTTTATAATTTCATTCAGATCTAATACAATTCCTTTCCCTTATAGCTGCAATTCTTAAGAAAAGTGACACAGCATATTTTATGGATAATGGCCTAGTATTATCAAGCAATTTATCTGCAGTAGAAAAGGAGCATTCCTAACTCAGCAAGAGTCTCTTTAACTGGTGGTATCTGTGTGGCTGCTAACAAGATAAAACACAGACATGAATTAAGAGTTATGCATCTTGGTGAAGAAGGGTCTGTGCAAATGGACAAGTTGCTTACAATTGCCCTTTGCTAAAATAATGCATTTAGTCAGCTGACAATAGCACACTTTTGTTCCAATAGAAAGGTCTGGCACCATCTTATTCATGAATGGCTGCTGCACCTCTAATTAACTGACATATGTGGAAAGAAGGCAAGCAAGTATCTTGCTGATTTTGCAAAAAAAATTCACAGAGAAAATTTGAAAATGCTTACTTTTGAATACTCATGGCAGAAATCATGCACTTCATAGATATCAGTGAAAAAGCAAAATGAATGTCAAAACATTACAGCAGAAACAAATTCTGCAGCAGTCTGAAGTAAATAAATGCTATGTTTAAGAGTTGTTAAAACGTGGTTAAGTAAATACTAAAAAGAAAAATGTATTTAAATTAAATTTAACTTTTCAAAATGCAATCAGAAGTCACTGAAGTCCATATGTTCTTTCAACACCAAAACTAGCTGCATCTCAGCTCATTCTCCAAAGAGGAACACACATTCAGTATCCAAATTTCTTTCATGCTTAGAAAGGAAAAAATAATAGTTCTTTATTGCCTGAAATTTTATACTGAGAGAAGAATGCAAGAACCCAAAAGAGAATATTCTGATACAGCCAGTGTCTCTAAAAAAATTAGAGGAAGTCCAGAAATTGCACTGAATTTGCTATTTGGTCTTTTAAACAATTTTTTTTTTTTGTGCATTTTTCTGGGTGTTTCTTTTCTTCTTAGCCAACTACTGGTATCAGACAACCTCAACTAGGTAAATTTGAAGAATCCCTACATGATTATGCAGTGGGTTAAACCTGATTCTCAACTCAATCCAATCTCCATATCAAAGCACAATAGACTAGAACTTGGAGCATTACTTAAGGAGAAAAAAAAATATTTTGAAGTATCATGGAAAACATTTCTAAATAGAACAAAAAGAGAACTTTCACAAAGTCCACAATTATTTTCCAAGATACTTCTGAGAAACCTCTGAGCTACTTCATCTTAAGCACATAGTAAGGCACATCCTAAGAAAATAAGTAAATACACAGAAATTTAAGTATTAGAGATTACAGTGGTACAAAAAAAAAAACACACTTGAGGTTTGATTTTTCTGTCTCCAAAGACAACCTTAACAAAAATAACTTCTTAAAAATTTGTCAAACCATCGTAGACCTGAATATTTGCCACAGGATTGTAAACACTTTATTCTTTAAAGAAATGCAAAAAACCCCTTTGAAATCTGGACAATTTTCTTGTCTTATTTTCTACAAGGTGCTATTACAGAACATCAACTTATAGCAAAAATAAGACATCAAACTTCCATTCTGTGGTTAGGTCAAGCTAAGTCTCTGATACCACATCCTGCAGAAAATTGTCAAATATCTTTTATTCCACAGGGAGAAGGCAATGCCTTTCCTTTAATAATTTAAGCCATACGAACAGTACAGACTTTTAAAGAAAAGTTATTTGTAAAAATATGCCAAAGTATGAACACATACCCTGGTAACATAAATGCTTGTTTTTCTTAAACAAACACAAGCACTATTTCACATTCAAATTAGTGTTTAATCTGTTTAGAATAGATATACTCTTTTGTTAGAAATAGTCTTGTAAAAGCACACTAAATATTTTTTAAGGCTGATTTTGAACAAAAGCTAAGAGGATGTTCTCAAAATATAAATTTAAGTAGGACATCTGATGATAAATATTGTTGCTAAAACTATTTCATAGAATAATCTTTCTACGGATGAATATTAAACTTTGATCACAAACAGGCAGCTAAAATCAAAAAAGATCATCACTTAATTCTTTGTGTATGAATGAGCTTTTTCTTTTAAGAGACAGAGCTGGTCACAGCTGTTTTGGTCTCTATTTTAAGATCTTAATAAAACTGTGATACAGTCTTAAAAGAAAACTTCACAGAAAAGTCAGATTGTAGATTTTGAGAAGGAAATTCGGAGGTGATGCTTTTCTCCCAGATCATGATTGTGAAGCTCAATGAGAGCTTGAAGTGCTTCTTCCACAGAGCCCAGTCGGATAAGAGCCATTTTATAATCTTTCCTGCAGTATAATAACAACAATTATTAGTCCTAACTGAATTTTCATTGCACTAGCCAACACAGAAAAGTGACACAACAATTTTTTCATCCACATCACATACACTCAACAGTGAAAGAATTAAAACTACTTATGTGCCTGCTAAAGTGAAGAGATAACAAAACTATACAAATTTTGGACATCCTTGGCCTACAGCCATGCCATTCTTCCATTACACTGCACTTCAAAAAACAGAGTCAAAATAAGGCTTGAAGACCTCTAAGAAACACTTGTATTGTCCATATATATGGGATTATTCTAGGAAGTACGATCATACTAAAATAATGCTGCCAAGCAACTTTAATGAACTTGAGAGCAGATTCATTGTCATCTTTTACATGACATTTTACATAAACACAGCTTGTACTTATTTTTAAGGAAGAGAGTGTTTACTTTCCTTAAACTTACCTTACTTTGAACACATATGGAATTTGTCAAGAGGCTGATTATTTTCATTTAATTATGCTTAGCTAGTATCACATTGAATATTTTAAATCAAAATTATCATTAAAAATGTCATAGCTGTACAGCTTTTGCCTATAGACATACATATGCAGTTCTGCCTAAAGTTATACAGCACGTGGAATTAAAAAAAAACGCAACAACAATTAGTCATCTTCCAGGATTAAAGCTTGCTCAGCATTTTTACATGACAACTTACTGGAAGAATCTGAAGGCTTTCACAGTAGATCCCGTATTTGCAAAAAGCTTCTTCATTTCATCAACAGTAACAGAAGTCCTATTTAAAACAAACAAATAAAACCAAAACAAAACCCCCTCAACTTGTAAAAGACCACAGAGTTCTGTAGTAGTATCAGAATTCTGGCTTGTACATTAAATTTGAACAGCAAAAGCTATCTCCATCCATGCAAGACTTGTCAACACCTTAGTCCAAATGTCTTGGCTTTGGCACTAAGACTTAGCACCACAGTGTGTTACAAAAATATTTCAAACACACTCTACTGCTTTTCATCTTCGCCCATTCCTCCTTCAGTTACATTCAGATTGCATAAAATATTTAAGATCTCAACCGGTGCCTTCAGGAATACCTTTCATCTTGCAATGACTCAGAGGGTGCTTCACATATTTTCAAATTTTGGAAGCCGTTTTCTAAGTGTCGTCATCTGTTTTTTTTTGGTTTTGTTGTTGGTTTTTTTTTTATTTATAAAAAATCCCAGTTTTCTCTCCCCCTCTCCGCACAGCTGCTAAGCAAAAGAAGCCTGTAAAAACTTGTGTTTGGCTGTCACTCCACAAATTTTGTACAACATTTCAGACTGAAAAAAAATTGTTTCAGTTTTTAAAAGCATGCTTTAAGACACTTTTTTTTTCTAAAACTTCCCCTTGATACGAGAATTCTGTAGAAACTGTTCCTTAAAAAGTGCTAGAATGTTTAAAAACTGTATCTACATCAAGTAACAATGCTAGTGATAACTTGATGTAATGTGACTTCCACATTATATCAAAACCTGTGTCTTTAACCTTTGCAAAAATTTGTAACACAGGACTTAAAGCTCATTAAGAGCAGCAATCAATCAGTTATCCTCTTTTCTAACACTAATAAAATGAAAGTTAAAGGACTTTTAGGAGTTAATTACATAGCAAAATCACCCAAATTCTCAGGAAACTGTAAAAGGCCAAGAAAATGTAAAGCTTCTGTCAGACTTAAGAACAGAAGGTAAAAACATCTTTCCAAGAAGATCACACAGGGATACTCACGGGATATTGGACAGATGCAGAGTGTCAGAGGGAGGAAAGATATTTCTGAAGTTCTTGGAGCCAGGCTTCTTAAACCGATGTAAAGGGCTGTGGCTGTAGTCCTTGGTCAGGCCATGGTCCTCTTCTCCCTCACGAGGAAGCTGAACTGTGCGATGTTTTGAAAAGGTAGCATGGAGGACCCTTCCATAAAGCCTCTGTCCATTCAAGTGGCTGATAGCTAACCAGTGGAAAAGTAATGCCGACAGGAGTGAAGGCAGTGGAAGAAAAAAGGGTTCTTTCAATACTGTTTTCTCTTTAGCATCAGATTTCATGTTCTAAATTTAAACAGCAACTTCCATGTCTACCAGGTGGGCTATGCAGTAATACTGTATTTGAATCAAATATAAGGATGTAATATAACCTCCAGTCCAAATGCAATAAAAATGCAAAACAGCATTTCAGTAAAGAGCAGTTGATTATTCTTAAATAGCTAGATCTAGGATAAATTAAAGGAAAACTGTATGTCTTATTAAGCTAAACTACAGGAATATTGTATGATGTTTTACTAGGCGGAGACTCATAGGATTTTTTTTTTTAAATCATCATATGAAAATAATTTGTTTACACAAAAGCACACAGATCATTATCAACATGTACAAGAAGAGTTTCTATGTAGTAAAGCATCACAATGATGGATTTGTTTATGCTTCTCACTGACAAATGTTCCTCATCAGTACCACACTCTTGCTAGTTTGCAGCATAACTGTGCCTTAAAAACTAGTACCTAATAGAGCCTGGGTTGCATCTGCCATCTGAACCAGAGCATTTTCTTTTTTCTTAAACATGATCTTCACACGATGCACGTCACCATACACACCTGTGGGAATCCAGAAAGAAAATTTGTCCACAGCATTACTATAAATGGCACAAGGGCAAGTCTGTTTCTTTAGACTAACATTAGTGTTACAAAGAATAATCACCTCTTTAAACAAGTAGGTTAGAATAATGGTAAGGAGAGCTTTACAATTTGTGTATTATTTGCTGAGGCTTGGAAATGGGGGAAGATCCCAAGACCTTAGTAATAAAACTGCACGTTTATGCTCAGCTTTTAAATAATGCAACAGTGTTAAAATCCTCTTAACACAGGCATATTAAAATATTGCTGTGCCAACATACATCCTCTGCAACTCATTTAAATGCCAATTCTGTGCTCCCTTTCTTCTGATGCAATCTTCGTTTTCTCCTCTTACTTTGCTTTCCCATTCTTTGTAGTAACCAAATTGGACCACACACTGAAATTCTTCTGACACTGTAACCATTTTGCTCTTTTGGTACCTGTGGCCTACAACTACTGAATCAAATTATTGTAATTTTAAAACAAGCACATTCTCTAGTGTATTTTCTAGACAAAGACAGAACAATGGAGTGTGCATTAACCAGCATGTGTCAGATAAATCGAAAGAATGCTAGCCCTGTAGTTTCTCAAGGCATATTTGACATATCTTACCAAACAGGATGAAAAGTCCATGTGGTGTGATGACCTGTTTAAATGATAAAATGAGCATATCATTTTTAAAGCCATGCAAATCAACAAATCTATTCTGCAAGTGCATGGTAAACAAAAAGAATGAATCTGTCTCTCCATGCAATAAATGCAGTGTATAGCAATCTTGTTAATATATATTTGATATGCACATATGAAATATTTAAGCAAGTTAACACTTCAGCTCATGTTTTTTCATCACTCAGGACTCAGTCTGTCATGCCAAAGAAGTTACTAATATTTTAAGTGCCTTGATTATTTTAACTTATTCTGTCCAAGCTACCAGCTTTGTATTTTCTATAGAGCAGAAAATACATATGAAACTAAAAATAGTTGATTCAAAATATGTTTGCTTTGTCTTCAGTTTTGTTCCTGTCTCTGTACATGACCATGGCATACTTAAGTGCTTCACATACCACTTAACTGTTTATATAGGAGACATATAGAAAGTAGTATGAAGTTGTGTTTGATTAGAAGCTGTGAACAGAAAGCTAAATACTGAAATAAATTTTCTTCAGTAATTTTTAATTAAACTCTTGTGTATCAAGCACCAACTAAGAAAATGTACACCCTAAGGCAGCCACATTGTCTTGAACTGAGGTAAAGGCTTTGCCAATAACAAGTACTAAAACTACCTGGGTATGAGGAGCACTAATCACACTACCTACCTCTATTCCTTTCCATCTCACAATGTTTTAAATGTGTACCCAACAGACCTAAGTTACATAAAACCAAAAGATACTGCACACTAAGTGTAAGCTCCTACTCTTTGATTGTAAGCATCTAGTATTCAGGAACAATTACTATGTATATATAACATTTAAATGCTTCTAGAGTTCATCTCTCTGAGCCAAATATTTTAATTCAGCATAGAGTTTATTTAAAGAAATTTCTTAACCAAAAGAGACTGCAGTATTTTTACTCAAAAAGGTTTTTGGAGGACAAAACTAGCTAATTTAAAAGTCATGAGGGAATGTTCAAATGCACACTTAAACCCTGCAGCAAGGGAATATAAATTGAAATAAGGTCAACAGGACTTTCTATACAGAAGTGACAGGGCTCAGACAACTGAAGAACAAGTGTTGCACAGTCACCAATAAATTTCTTTACAACAGTTTGTATTTCCAACAATTAATGTTGCTCATTTTTATTTTGTACCTTCTAAGAAGTCAGGCATTCTTTAATGCATTTATGTTGTATTATGTTGTGTTGCAGCACAAAGTTCTACGTCAGCTTCTTAGACATGATTAGTATTAAGTAAAGAAGCAGTGTCCTGAAAATAGCTTTGGTCTAAGCTTAACATATGCTTATTTTTAAAAAACACACTCTCAAGACTCAAAGAATCATCTTGAAAAATCAGCTGCAGAAAGCACATCCACAGCAATCATCAGAATTAGATTCAGCTAACAGAATCTAATGACTGTGCAAAACAATAATTTTTTACTGCTATAAATGAAGTGCTTATCAACAGTCAGGTAGACTTGTGTTTTAAGTCATGGCCTTGGTAAAACCTAATTTTTATTTTTTAAGAGATGTGCATTGCTTTTGGTTAAGCACAGATCAATGTGTAATATTTGAATAACAGGATTAAGTTTATAGAACAATCTGTGTAATTCCCACTATGAAAATAACTATCCACATTGTCCTCAGCAATTTTACTGGCAACATAAAAACCCTGTATGTCATTATAAAAAGTGAACATGCATGTTTATTAACTTCTTAAAATGGATTTAGAGTGAATTCATTAGCAAAGTACACCTGTTTTGTTATTCTACAACCTGGGAAAAGTTGCAAAACTAGAAAGATCAAATCATGTTTTGAAAGGTACTTCATTTGGCATGCTTGTATCTCCTTTTCTGTTCTGTCTTGTTTCTTACTCCTTGTATTTTGTAACAAATGAAAAAATCTTTGGTTTCTTTAATGATAAAGTAGCACACAGAGGAGTCACATTAAAGAGATACCAGTAAGTTTAGCCATCATATATGTTTACCTCTTCAAACATTTCTTGTGTCTAACCATATACTTTTTTTCTAATTACTAACTAAATTGCTAACATATGTTTCCTAAAATAGTCTTAGGAAGCTTTTAACTGCTCACCAGTTTTTAAGCCTCATCATTATTGCAAACTATCTCAAATAAGAAAAGAGCTGTCCTGCTTTTTTATATCATCAGCATGGAGACTTCCTCTCTCACTCCTTCAGCTGATGTCAATTTGCAAGAAGGATTCTGGCAGTTGATGCAAATTGATACTCGCATCATTTCCACCAAACAAACGTACTTCAGGGTTCAGATTGCTGACTAGCAAAACAGAATTTCCTGGAATACCAGTAACACCAGTAACAGTCATCTGTCCAGACGCTGCAGACGTGGGGACTGCAAGGGAACCCAGTGCTACAGGCACAGCTGGAACCGGAAGACCTGGAAGGGTATTCATAGCAGCACTTGACATCCCAAAGTGGAAAAGACATTTTAGAAGACAAAAGCAGGTTACATCTGACAAAATCATCCATATTAAATAGAAAAAACAAAACAGCAAAGCTTTTAAGGAATTTAATGATTCACAGAACCACAGAATTGTCAGAGTTGGAAGGGACCTCTAGAGATCATCCAGTTGAACTGCCCCGCTAAAGCAGGATCCCCTAGAGCACATTACTCAGGGCTGCATCCAGGTGGGTCTTGAGTATCTCCAGAGAAGGAGATTCCACAACCTGGGCAGCCTGTCCTAGTATCTGAAAGCAGGAATTACCTCCTCTCCAGAAATCAAGAAATACTCAGCTACACCAGCAGACCCGAAAAAATGGGGATATAAATTGCAGCCCAACAAAGAAGAAAAATAAGTTAGCACAGAAGTTTATCTTGTGCTAGAGAGGAAGAGATCACTGAGTCTAGAAGACTATTTATTTCTCATTTTATAGCCAGAAAAGGGGAGACCTCCTGCTTTAGCTTTGAATGTCACTGAAATCTTATGATTCTTAGAAAAACAGATGCTTAGTTTTTTCTAGTGTAGGTAAATCTTTATCATGGCATTTAATTTATTTGCTTATTAAATTATAAATTACATCCGCATATGCTTTTATTACAGAAAGTAATTTTACTGAATAATATGAGAAAGAAAATCACAATTACTCAAATGAATATTGTGTTCTGACAGCTGTATTTGAAGACAATTAGCTCTGAACATGGGTGTACTCAGATAGACCACTAACCCCAAACACAAACACTGTATTTTTAGTACCTTGAGCAAAGCCCATGGCTGGGGCAATACCAGCAGCCCCTGCATATGATGGAATGATGATATTTTGGCTCCCTAGAGAAAGAAGACACATAGAATTAAAACATATTAACATTTTAGAAAACAGAAGAGACTTCAGCAATGAAAATGACCTTCCAGTGTTCCTATTCTGACTTAGTCCATGATTACGTCTTCTATAAAACATCCGGGTTAAAAACTCTCATTGAAATCCAAGATTCTATGTTTGACAAAACGAATTTTCAGCCATTTTTGAAGGCAAATATTCTGATCAGCCTCACTGTCCCTCTCTAAAGTGAAGACTGGAAAAAAAGTAATTTAGACAAGTTTGAATAGGAGAGTACATCATGGATTAGTATCTGTTAGATTTAAGACACCTGTGGTGCACTGTCCAACAGCTTTTATTCTATAAGAGATGTGGATTCTAGAAATGTTATGGAAGTAAATGCACTACATGACATTCTGCAATTATAAGATACAACTATTTCCTAGATGCTTCTAAAACAAATATGGGCTAAACAATACAAACAAGTATAGTGAATCTGAGGTTCCACATTTTACTAGCTATTGAGATGCACAAAGTATACACATTTTGCTTTTTAAGGGGATGCACTTTCCCAGCTTGCATTACTTCATAAATAACCAGTGTTTCTAATGGTTCTCCTGGAATTCAACAAGCATTAAACAGATTTGGAATGTCATCATATGGAAAGTCCCTGCCTCAAAGACAGCTCAGTGATTTTTGCATTAGTCTGTGGGCTTAAGCACTACCTGGGCAGCACACAAACTTGTGTTCTAAGATGTAGTTAGAGACAAACTACAGTTGTGGATTCTTTCATGTGTTAGCACACTAGATTTTTTTTAAACACTGTATGTATAATCAGCAAATACATCCTGCAAGCCTGGCAATATGTCTGTTTTACTACTCATCATTGACTAAAATAGTTACATTCACTAACAGACAGCTGTTGACAGGGATGATACACTACCATGATAAGTATCTATTATGAATTACTTAACAAATGGAACACACACAGCAGATCAAGTATTCATGAATCCTGCATCACATTACACCTCATCTTATCTGTACCAACAGTCTCTTTCATACAGAAAAGAATACATTTATCACAGCAAAGCAAGTAATGGTGTAAATGAAATACAGGCACTGGTGCATTATACTGATGAGCTCTGGCAATACAAGTATTAATCACTTATTCACAGTCAAAGAATGGTCATGGAAACATTAATGAAGACACAGATAAAACGCTTTTATTCTGCCAAGTAAGACCTGTATGCTGCACACTGATAGCAAAATCAGGCATGTAAAAAATGTCAAACTGCTAATGCAGAAAGATCTGGAATTCTTTGCTGCATTTTTTTATGTGTAAAATAATTTGCTTCGTGGCTAGCAGCTAGCTTCCAAAGCAAGCCAGTTCATGTATCTCTGCTTATACTGACTAGGTGAGCAAAATCTGACGACTATCAGAGCATGCCTGTGGCAACACATGCATGCTGTTACCACAGAAAGGCTAGAAGCACGTGTCTCCCAGTCTACAGCTATTTTCTTAAAAGAAAAGTATCTCTGTAGCTGCCTCACTGTAGTTGCACTACAATCAGATTTTGATACAGACATCAGACTCTTCTCTACACCAGCACTTCTGCAGTTCTATTTCAGTAAATGTTCAGACTGAAAACAAGATTTGCTAGCAATAACAAGCTTGAAAGGAAATTCTTCCCCAGCTCTTGCTACTGTTCTAACCAACTGGATGGCATTTGGATACCTATTCAACAGCTGAGACTGTTCTTACCTAGGTATTATTACTAATGGTTGTAACCGGAGAGAAGAAAAAATAGCTAAAATTGCTCAAATTGCATTGTGCCCCTCAGTCAGGTCATCAGATTAACCTGTTTCATGATTTACCAAAGCTGATTAAATGAGCACGCCTGAGCTATTTATGCCAAAAAGGTTTATCCAGTGTGGCTTCCAGCAGACTCTCTCTCCTCTATGCCATGAAAGGGACATCTAAAATTAAAGAAAATTTCTAAAATTTTTTCTTTTGGAACAGTGACTTCAAAACATACATAAGCAAGTGTAGCTTTTCTAAATTTCTTACGGTTTTGTTTGTTATAGCAGGCAGTTATCCTAAAATATCAACAATCAAGAGCTAACACCCTTAAAACATTTGCTTTCAAGCAGCTTTAGGCAACCAGTGTCACTCTTTCAGATGACTGCTATTAACTAGTCTGATAGGTAACATTTATTATACTACCAGTACCAATTATGCCAAGCATTACATCACAGCATTTTTCAAATACAGCTTTTTGACAACACCTTGAATTTGCCCAAGAGCATGCCTTGCATTACAGTTTCAGATATTAATTTATCTTGAGTCAGGCTTTCTGCTTTCCATACAAATTTATTGGACCTAACATGAGTGTAGGCAAAATGTACACTTCTGTGAACCTGATGAGAAGCCAGAGCATAAATGCAACATAAAAAGCATAATGATCTAATTATGGATTTATCACTAAAAGTGAAGGTTTCTTACCAAAGGCAGCAGCTATGGGTGGCTCCACGGCTGGGTGGCCATCACCAGAAGGGAGGTCATGACGAGTGAAATCTCTGCTTTTGTCATTGTTGTACCTTACCTTAAGGTTAGCTAACCTGGAGAAATCAATGCGCAGAGTGCAGCAGCCAGTGTAGATACTTTGGCCATCCAAAGCCTGAAGAATAATAATCATGTTTTCAGAGACAAAACACATAGTAGCAGCCACCATTGTAGGTTTATTTTTTTTCCATCCCACAACTGTATAAACAGAAATTATTCTTCTCTTTTTAAGGTGATGCATTTAACACCAAGTAGAAAATGATACTGACATTATCCTTACTTAAACAACCTGTACAGAGTACTAGTGTAGTTCACTAGTTAGTATTATGTCACCTTGTGCCAATGAACAAAACACAGCTTTAAGCATGACTTACCCTTCTAACTGTACTTCTAATCTTACCTGTCTCGCACTCAACATAACAAATACTAGTAGCAACACTAATTTGGAGATCTTTATTGTTCAGAACTGTCCACTGGTGAAAGGCCTGGAGAGCAACAAGTCTTACAAGGAGCAACTGAGGGAACTGGGGGTGTTTAGCTTGGAGAAATGGAGGCTGAGGGGAGACCTTATCACTCCACAACTACCTGAAAGGAGGTTGCAGTGAGGTGGAGGTTGGTTTCTTCTCCAAGTAGAAAGCAACAGAACAAGAGGAAATGGCCTCAAGTTGCTCCAGGGAAGGTTTAGATCAGGTATTAGGAAAAATGTATTCTGTAAAAGGGTTGTCAGGCACTGGAACAGGCTGCCCAGGAAAGTGGTGGACTCACCACTCCTGGAGGTATTTAAAAGATGTGTAGCTGTGGTGCTTAGGGACATGGTTTAGTGGTGGACTTGGCAGTGCTGGGTTAACAGTTGGACTTGAAGATCTTAAAGGTCTTTTTGAACCAAAATGATTATATAAAATACCTTTTTTGTGAGCATCTATGCACAGAAAGATCACTGAAGTAGTATTTTCTTCCCAGAACCACCCAGAATCACAGAATGTCCCTGGCTGGAAGAGACCTCCAAGATCATCCAGTCCAGCCCCAGACCTAACAGTGCAAGCTTGCCACTAGACCCCAGGTCCATATGCCATTTAAATGCATCAAGAGATGGTGACTCCACCACTTCCCTGGGGAAACTATTCCAATGCTTGACAACCCTTTGAGTGAAGAAACTCTTCCTAATATCTATCCTAAACTTCCCCTGGCACAGCTTGCACCCATTCCCTCTGGTCCTATCACACGTCAGCAGGGGGGAGAGGCTGTTCCCCTCATCGCTCCAGCTCCTTTCAGGTAGTTGTAAAGAGCAAGGAGCTCTCCCCTTAGCCTCCTCTTCATGCTTCGTATGACTGCCCATGCCAGCCATAAAAGAATTGAGATGGATGAAGGGGGAAAAAAACACCCACGAGATACTGGTTTGTTATAATTATTTAATATACTCTAGACTGGAATTTCTGTGAAATCTTCAGTAAGGCATAGTTTATTACTGTTCTTTATGAAAAGATGCTACTGCTAACCAACAGTGTGTAATCCTAACTCCTTTTACTGATTTCCATTAAATGCTTAATCTCTGAAACACACAGTGCATTTACTTACTGGACTAAAGTTCAGGCAGCAGTAGATAACTATTCTATGGCTTTAATTTTGAAGATCAAAATGAAGTCAATTTCTTTAAGAAAAGTACGGTAAAAGTTCCATTCACTCATCTTTCAGTAATTTTCTTAGAAAAATAAACGCTAAATACCACTTAATCCTCATCAACGTCTATTCTTCTGTGTACCTTTATGGGAACTTTCAAACTGCTTTTATTTAACCCACCACAGGAAAAAGTAATTAAAGTAGGTGAGCTTTTCTTCATTACTGAGAACACACATTTTAAAAATCAGGGTACAGCTGTTCTGAAACTAGGAAGTTTAAGGTGAAAACATTAATTTCTGTAAATTTCTCACAGAAATTCAAGCAAGTAAAACAAGTAACATTTATCTAATCTCTGAGCATTTAACTACTGTACTCTCACTGAAAATACTCCATTTCATTTGGAATGCAAAAGACTTTTTGGTCAAACACAGGTCAAATAGTCACCATCACTAATAGCTACTGACTGCTTTGATTTTTGTTCTGGCAGATGCATGCAGGTCTCGGGGTGTGTGCTATACGTTTATGTTTGCAGTTGATAACAAAGTTATCCTCTTAACTAATGAGGGATGTTGGAATTATTAATGTGCAACAAGAATGTCAGAATGATGAGAAGTCAAAGTTAATGATCAAGGTACTCCTAATGTTGCCCTTTTATCTGGGGAAAAACAACAGGAAAACAACAACAAGAAAAAAAATCAGGCTGAATACACTACTACACTCACCATTTTGGCATAATATGCATTCATTGGATCAGCATACTGTAGCAGAGCTTGGAACTGATTGTTCTTAGTGAAGGTGATAATCTTCAAGACAGATCCAAATTTTGAGAAAATCTGAGAAAGAAAAAATAGGCCATTTCAGAAGCAATGAATAATTTATGCACAATAAAAACTAGCGTTTTAATCTTCATATAGATGTCTGAAAATTATATCTTTTGTGAGAGCTGAACAGAAACTGTGTGAACTCAGAATTTTGTTTAGGGTTAAAAAATACTTTAAAAAGAGACTACAAAGGATGTGGAAGAAGGATAACATTTCCTTGGAGATTTAGCAATGACTGTTCAACTAAGAGCATGGAAGGCCAATCCAAAGAGGCGGCCGTCCAGTGTCTGCAAAGAAATTTTCAATAATCAAAGTTGAGGTTTGAGAATTTAACACATCAGTTGAGATTGCAACTGCAAACTGCAAGGTATCCACCTTTACATTCTGTACTTCAAACAAATTCTGCATATTTAGTGACCAAAAATACATCTTAAATAGTCGATGTACCTACAAATTAATTATGCAGGCCCACAGTCCAAACTAAACGACAAAGAGAGAAAGAAGCAAGATAAGGGCCTAGTCTGGGACCTACCCCTATACTTTACTCCTGAATATTATTTGATTTATGGCAAATGCAAGCATTACATAAAAAAAAAATTAGAAGGTTGAAATTAAATATATATACACTCAATATATTAATATGTCTATGCAAAAGCAAATCCACAAAGAATGAGGACAAAAGTATAAATACCATGCAAGTGCAGAAAAACAATGTTCAAATTAACAGTAGAAGAAGAGATGTGAGTTTAGGAAGTACTAACAGTTCTAGAACAAACTGTAAGACTCAATGCAAAGTTAGAAGAGCTCCCCAGACAAATATTAAATCCTGAAATGGAAAGAAAGGCCAACAATAAAGATGAGCATCTAATGCCAGCCTATTAGGCCTAGAATAATGAGTACAAGACACAGTGTCCTCACCCTTTTGTGCCCAGTTTTTCAGTCTCTCAGAAACAAGGTTTTTATGCTGCAGCAATCATTTCGTGGTAGAAGAAAGAACAGAATCCTTTTTCACAGCAATTTAAAATTAGCCATTGAGTTCCTGTTCACAGGCCTTAAGAAAGACCTAAAAATAGAACTGCTGAACATACCCTTTTCCATGCTTATCCACAAGACCAAAGATACCTTTCTTAAGATAATGAAATTAAATGTACATCTTTTTGGTTTTAAACCTAAAATCCACTATATATGTCAATTTTGTTTCTGCAAGGGTAAGAATGTTTGTTGTAATAAATATTTTAAGGTGAACTGTGGTAAAAAAGGGATATTTTCTTGACAAATAGCTATAACTTACAAAATAGAATAAAAGTTTCAGATGAAAGCTTGAGTACTAGTATTCCATATGATGCGAATCAGTGAAAACCTTAATTTCCACAAACCTTAATGTTACATTGAAGCTATTAGGCACAAAGTGCTGAAGTATTTAGGGAAGACTGTCCTATTAAGAACTCAAAATAAGCTCCCTTTTCACATACTGCTTAGTTTTCTCGACCACAAAAGTAGTTGAGTCAGGGTCATTGGGTAATTCAAGGTTTGAAGATACAGTTCTGCTGTACTGAAATAAACAATCAAATTAAAGTAATTTAACATGAATCTACTCTTCCACTGCCTCCTTAGTAAAAACAAACAAAACAAAAAAAACACAAAACACACACACAAGGTTAGATCCCGGAATTGCTGTTGCACTAACAAGCTAGTATAAATCCCATAAGCACAAAGTTTCTTCTCAGGTTATTCTGAGCTCACTAATACTCCTAAACAGTAGACTTAGTATTTGTACAAGCTCAATAATGAGTGAACAATAATCATAGATACAAAAATAAGTTTGTATCAGGCAAACTGTGACATCAAAGTGACGACTAGTATACTAGTTAATAAGTATAATAGGAGGGAGACAGAGAAAGAGGAAATGTTAGGAGGTAAGAGGAAAGATTAAGTATTGGTAACAATCAACTATTGTTTGAGATGCCAGTAGAGCAGCAAAAATCTTCTTCCAGGACTGCAGGTTCTTGAAAAAACACCCCAAGATTTAAGCCAAGGTCTTGCTTGCTTTCCCCCCCTCCCCCTCTGAAGTTTACTAGTGATTACAAAAGCTTCAAATATGAAATCCTCTGCAATATCTAAAAATAGTACTGACAAATCCTTCAGGCACAAAGAAACAGTCTCATGAAGTTATTATTTTTAAACTTTGAGTTCTCAACAGCATAGCACAACCCCTAGAAGGAGTTAGGGTAATGTCTTTCACAGGTGTGGCACACCACTACTCCTGGCTTCCAGAGGTGCTTAAAGTATATAACATTCTAACAGCTGATGAACAATTTTAAACATTTGTCCAGGCTACTATACTTGGATATTACATCAGTTTTATCAAATTATTAAAGTGAATAAAAACCCTTAAAATATAATCCAAACTACAAAAGTTGCTCAGTACAAAGAGCACTACAATATTTGCCTACAAGTTCAAAACAATCAGTATTTCACTAATTCATCATATGGGCATAAATTACAAATAACACCTCAAGTTTATTGCTGCTTCCAGAGAAACAAAATAATTAAAAAAAACCAAATCAAAAAACAAACAAACATGAAAAACTGAGCACAGAAGCTCTGCTTAATTTGACTGTTTTGTGCAAAACTGGTTCAAGCCTAGATACCTAAATTGCAAAAAATAATTTTAGAGTGTTAGTCCTCATTTAACGCTTAAGAATCCACAGGTACTTTTAAAAAGAGATATACAGTGGCAACATTGCAACAGATTTTAATTATTTTTAGCAGTCCTCTTTACCTGAAACAGCACTTCTAAAGTAACAGGATAGAAAAGATTTTCAACAATCATGCGAAGAACGGAACCTGGACAGAGCCCACCATCAGCACCAAGCGCACTTGTGACAGTCAGGTTTCCAGCCTGCATAGCATTCACAGCTTGCAGTGCAGCTTGGGATCTCTGAAATCAGGACACAGCAGAGACCACAATTAACTTACACACATACAAATTACACCACATCTAAGCTAAGTTCTCTTGCAAAGAAAAGCATGTACAGTACATTTAAAATGCAGCTCTTAAAAATATATATTCCCTCTATCTGATTATCGACTCAAGTATCATATTAATAAGTTAACCACACATCTTCCTTCACTCTTCCCTAGAAGTCAGATTACACTTTCATAGATTTTTATTACTTTCTTGAGTTAAAATGTTACTACTTTGTTATGCTACACAGACACAATTTTACATTGATTCAGTAAGATTTTGTCATTCTAGACATTTTCCATCAAATCAATATGATCACAATATTGCAATAGACTAAGAACCAGTGAGTATACGAAAAACTACTTGCTTGCGCTTTATTAGGATTTTGCTCTCTTTAGGAACTAAGTTTTTCTGGGAATCAGCTTTTTTTTTTTCTGAGCCAAGCTGCCAACCACAAAAAACACCTTTAAATCTCACTCCTCAAACTGCCTCACTGTGACTTTGAAAGTCTCTATGCTTGTTTTTTATGGGGTTTCCTCAAAAAGGCTTTCAGACTACCTCTGGGAACACTACAGAGAGATGGTCCTTTGCAAACGTTGTATTGAGACTCTAAGTCATGTCTCAATAACAAAATTGCCTTGGCAGATGGACTAAACATGACACACAGTAAAGTTGTTACCCAGTTTCAGAACCTTGTTACCCTGCAAAATAACCTGTACTTCAGGTACTGAGCCTAGGCACTAGGTCAGTAATGTAGTGTTTGGCTGCTCCGTTAGCATCTCTAAAATTTAAATAAAACTCAACTGTAAGAGTTTAAGTGCAAAAAAAAATAGGGTTTTTTTTTAAGCAGACACTGTTGTTTTTACAGAAGAAGAAAGCAAGTGTCATGCACTGAGTTAAAAATACTCTTAGAAACAGATACAAGGAGTCTTATTTGCAAATACGATTATAGTTTTCCTGAGGCTGTTACAAACACCACATCCTTAAAAATTCCCTAAATCTTCCTTCTGTTGCTGATACATTTTGAGGAGCTATTCTTATTGCTGTTCATAGTCATCACCAGAGCCAATTCCACATGGTCTTTAACTTCACTAAACACATCCCTGCATGTTCAGATAGTGCTCTGTATTCCTCCTGGATCACCTGTTAATGATTCTACCTTTTCTATGCCTCTTTTTAATGTCTGAGTTGAGTCAGGAGCTTCTTGTTCATCCAAGCAGTCGTCCTGCCACCTTCACTTGATTTCCTGCTCTTTAGGATGAACCATCCTTCACCTTGAGCTCCTCCACAGTAATTTTACAGACATTGAGAAGTCCTTGTCTGAAAGAAGTTACTGCTTAGATAAAAAAGGCAGAAATAGTATCTGTCAGAATGTGACTACTGGTGTAGTGGAAAGTAGTCTATGTTTTTACTGATGTTGTGGTTTAACCCTGGTAGGTAGTTAAGTACCACACAGCTGCTCAGCCACTTCCCCCCCAGCAGGATGGATGAGAGAATGGGAAGGGTGAAAGTAAGAAAACTCATGGGTTGATATACAGACAGTTTAATAGGTAAAGCAAAAGCTGCATCTGCAAAAGCAAGGCAAGATAAGGAATACCTTCACTACTTCCCATTGGCAGACAGGTGCCATCAGCCATTTCCAGGAAAGTAGCACACGTAATGGTTACTTGGGAAGAAAAATGCCCTAACTTCAAACGTGTCCATTCCTCCTTCTTTCCTCCACCTTTTAATGCTGAGTATGATGCCATGTAGTGTGGGATATCCCTTTAGTCAACTGGGCTCAACTATTTCAGCTGCGTCACTTCTCAGCTTCTTGTGCACTCACACTGGGAGGGCAGTTTGAGGAGCAGAAAAGGCCTTAATGCTGTATGAGGCTCACAAGCTTCTATGAGGAGGATTACCTGGTATCCTAGCCAAAGCTAGTACACAACTCATATGCAATTCTATCTTGTTAAATGGAAATAGTATACTTACAGACTGGTTAGGTAGATTGTCAGTCTTAAGTTCTCTGTGATTGGAATACTGAATATAAACAGGCTGACTGCGGAGGTGAGGTGTAGTAGGAGTATAGTAGTTCATCATAGTAACAGCAGCTTCTTCAGAAGCCATTTCCAAAAGTGCCTGCAACCAACACACAGCAGTTTTCAGTGTTGTTTTGTTTACAGAGGAAAATAAACACCAAAGCAGCATTCACTCCCAATTCCACCCCCACAACAAGAAGAGAACGTGAAAGTAATTTGCTCAGTATTAAAATGCAGTTGTGGGTGTGTTTATGGGGATATATGTGATATAATATGTGGGTTTTCTTAAAACATTTTATACTGTAAATACAATAAGCTGCTAAAGAAGAGACTGAGTAAGTATCACATATGGGAAGCAATGCTGGTAAAATACCACACTGCTAATGAATTTATTAAATTCCTGAATCCAAGTACTGTTAACGTAAGTAGCAGATACATATACTGATTGAAAAAGTAGGAACAGGACACTATACATCAGTTTATGCATTATATTAATCCAGCTCATTGCTCTAGGCAGTTTTTAGTATCTACTATTTTTAGAAATTCAGTGTTTATTAATGATGTGAGCTACACCATCACATACAAAAGAATTAAAAAAACCCAACTAAACAATTTATTTCAAATTAAAAAACAAGCATGTTAACTATTTAATCAGGCACATTATTTCAAGACATAGGTTGGCACCAATAGGGACAATGTGGCTTTTTATCATCTATGTATTCTTATATAAAGTGGAGATAATGTTTAGCAATATTATTAACATGTTACTAAGTTGTTATTTAATACAAAAGCATATTAAAATTTAAAATAATTATCCTTTACTGTCCCTTAAATAATACATCCTTTCACATTTGAAAATAGGAAAATCGTGAGCCACTAACAGATGTTGCTGCAATTACTTCAGCCAAATGCAATACTCATGAGGCTGCACTTGACTCCTGACTTCAGTTCTGGGCCCACTACAGGAAAGGCATGAAGGTGCAGGAGCATGTGGAGGAGAGCTACCAAGCTGCTGAATGGTCTGGAGAACAAGTCATACAAGGAACAGCTGAAGGAGCTGGGGTTGTCTACTCTGAAGAAAGTGAGGCTGAGGGGAGACCTCACTGCTCTCTACAGCTGCCTGAAAGGAAGCTGCAGTGAGGTGGAGGTTGGTTTCTTCTCCCAAGTAAAACATGATAGAATGAGACCAAATGGCCTCAAGTTGCTCCAGAGGAGGCTTACATTAGATATTAGGAAAAATTAATTCAGTGAAAGGGTTTTCAAGCACTGGAACAGGCTGCCCGGGAAAGTGGTGGACTCACCACCCCTGGAGATATTTAAAAGACGTGTAGCTGTGGTGCTTAGGGACATGGTTTAGTGGTGGACTTGGCAATGCTGGCTTAACAGTTGGACTTGATGATCTTAAAGGTCTTTTCCAACCAAAATGATTCTATAACATGAACCACACCTTCAGCTTTGCTCTTCTAGTTGGAACGCTGAAAATTACTTACCTGACTTTTTCCTTTTAGCATCAAGAGGTTGGTTACTCTACCAAAAGGGATGCCTAATGAAATGACTTCTGCTTCAGTAGCATCACTTGGAATTCGACAAAGATGAAGGACACGTGAAGGGCGTGGTGACCTGTCTCCTTTAAATGTCTTCTTTTCAATCCCATTATCTAAAAGATTTTAGGGAGGGGGATGGATATGCAAACAAGTCAAACTTAATGCACAGTGTATATACCAAAACCTAAACTGCCATCCCAGCACTGACATTGACTCATCTACAGCTCTTTGAATTCTAAGAAAGGACAGTCAGACAGCAATTAGGACTTCTCTCCCCAAAATGGTAGCAGGATCATTAGTTCAGCTGAAGTGCATCTACACCAATGCACAGAGCATGGGCAATAAGCAGGAGGAGCTGAAGGCCACTGTGCAGCAGGACAGCTATGACATATTTGCCATCACAGAAACATGGTGGGATGATTGTCATGACTGGAGTACTGCAATGAATGGCTGTAAGCTCTTCAGAGGGGCTAGGCAGGGAAGGAGAGGGGGTAGAGTGGCACTGTATGTTAGGGAGTGTTTTGATTGTGTAGAACTTGACATGTGTGATAGTAAGGTTGAGTGCTTATGGGTAAGGGTAAGGGGGAAGGCCAACAAGGCAGCCATTCTGTTGGGAGTGTGTTACAGACCACCCAACCAGGATGAGGTTGATGAGGCAGTTGGCAGAACTCTCCAAGTCAGCCCTTGTTCACATGGTGGACTTAAATTTACCTGGAAATACAATACAGCAGAGAGAAAACAATCTAAGAGGTTCCTGGGGTGTATGTAAGATTCCTAACACAGCTGGTAAATGAGCCTTCCAGGGGAAGTGCCTGACTAGACATACCATTTACAAGCAGAAAAGCACTGGTGGGTGATGTGGTGGTCAGAGGCTTAGTGACCACGAAATGATAGAATTCTCAATTCTTGGTGAGGTAAGGACTGTGATCAGTAAAAATGCTTCCATGAACTTCTAGAGGGCAGGCTTCAGACTGTTCAGGACACTAGTTGGGAGTGTCCCCTGGGAGACAGTTCTGAAGGGTCAAGAAGCCCAGGAAGGCTGGATATTCTTCAAGAAGAAAGTCTTAAAGAAAAGCAGGGGCAGGCTGTCCCCATGTATTGTAAAATGAGTTGTTGGAAGACCACCAGCCTGGCTGAACAGAGAGCTCTTGCAGGGGCTCAGAAAAAGAAATTAAAAAATTGAGTATACCACCTTTGGAAAAAGGGACAGGCAACTCAAGAAGAGTACAGGGATAAAGCTAGGCCACGCAGAGAGAATATCAGAAAGGCAAAAGCAGAGCTAGAACTCAACCTGACCACTGCTGTGAGGGATAACAAAAAAGGATTTTACAAATACATTAATCACATAAAGATAGCCAAGGAGAATGTCCACCCTTTAGTGGATGCAGGGGAAGAAACATTTCTGTCAAGGATGAGAAAAAGCCTGGGCGACTGAATGCTTTCTTTGCCTGAGTCTTCAGTAGTCAGACCCATAATCCTCAGAGTATTCAACTTCCTGATAGGGATGGAGAGCAGCAGCAACTTCCTGAATCCAGGAGGAAGGAGTTAATGACCTGTTAGGCCACCTGGACACTCACAAGTCTATGGGGCCAGGTGGGATTCACCTGAGAGTGCTGAGGGAGCTTGCCAAGCCACTCTCCATTATCTATCAGCAGTCCTGCTCAACAGGGGAGGTGCCAGATGATTGGAGGCTTGCCAACATGACACCGGTCTACAAAAAGGGCCAACATGAGGATCTGGGAAACTACAGGCCTGTCAGCCTGACCTTGATATTGGGGAAGATTATAGAGTGGTTCATCTTGGGTGCACTCACATGGCAAGTGCAGGATAATGGTGAGATCAGGCCCAGCCAGCACGGATTCATGAAAGGCAGGTCCTGCTTGACCAACTTGATCTCCTTCTATGACCAGGTAACCTGCCTATAGGATGAGGGGAAGGCTATGGACATTGTCTACAGGGTGGAGAAAGATCTGGGAGTTGTTGCTAGCCAGCTGAACATGAGCCAGCAGTGTGCCCAGGTGGCCAAGAAGACAAATGGCATCCTGGCCTGTGATTGTGGCCCTGTACTCAGCCCTGGTGAGGCCACTGCTTGAGTACTGTGTTCATTTTTGGGCACCACAGTATAAGAAAGATATTGAGGTCCTGGAGCATGTCCAGAGAAGAGCAAGGAGGCTGGTGAGGGGTCTGGAGGCAATATTGTAAGAGGAGCAGCTGAGGGAACTGGGGTTGTTTAGTCTAAAGAAGAAAAGGCTGAAGGGAAATCTTACTGCTCTTTACAACTATCTGAAGGGAGGTTGTAGAGAGGCCAGTGCTGGTCTATTCTCCCACGTAACTAGCAATAGGACAAAAGGAAATGTGTTTAAGTTGTGTCAGGGGAGGTTTATGTTGGATGTTTAGGAAAAATTAATTTATTGAAAGAGTGGTGAGGCACTGGAATGGGCTGCTCAGGGAGGTGGGGGAGTCACCATCCTTGAAGGTGTTCAAGAAGCACTTATATGTAGTGCTTCAGGATATAGTTTAGTGGTTGTGGTAGTGAATTATGGTTGGACTTGATCTTGAAGATCTCTCCCAACCTTAATGATTCTGCGATTCTATATATAACCAAATAACAGTTTAAGATGACCCCTTCAGCTGCTCCAGATCTCCACTGCAAAGGGGGTGCGTGGTCTGTTTGTTTTGCTTTGGTTTGGGTTTGTTTGCTTGACTGTTTGTTTACTTACTTGTGTTATTTTTATTGTTTCAAATCTTACAGACTGGCAAATAGCATCTTCCCAAATGCCTTGTAACATACTGGCAAATTTTTAATTACACAGAAATAAGGCAATTAGTAACTGGGAGAAATTACATTCCTTTTTTTTATTACTAACTTCTTTTTTTGCATGGTATGTTATTTAATTACATTCAGTTGCTACCTCAAAACTTTTTTTTTATTAAAGAAAGCCTGCTGTTCCACATGATTTTAAGTTTCAAAAAGACTTTGAAAAGGACAGACAGCAGTGAGGCATAAAATCTGTACAGATTCTAAAGTCTTCTACTTGGGCAAACTGCCTTTTTTTAACATATGCCTATTTGTATCCTTTAACAACTAACTGACCAGTCATTACATGTCAAGGAGATGACTCAGAGTCCTTGACAGCACTTTTAAGCAGAACACCACATTTGCAACAGGCATATTGTTCTAGAAGCTATGAAAATGGAGTAATAACTTATAGTAACAATGAAATTCATTAAACTACAGATGCCAGGAAGAGACTCTCCTAAAGCAAGCTAAGGAGGCTTATGAGACTTGATTAAAAAAACCAAAAAAACTAAATGGAGAGGGAAGAAAACATATTTTATGGAAATTATATTGAAATCGAACTGCAAGTCACTTAAATTAAAGGAAGAAATGGCATACTTTTTAATTCCATGCCACAAACAGCTTCACTCTAGCAAGACAGACTGACTTAACAGACTTAATGTGCTGCATTTAGCCTTCTAATGAGAATCACTAAAGATTAGGAAAAAATAATCTGCATGAGCTTAGTAAGTAATTTCAGATTTTGCTGTGGGCTTTGAGTAGTGTCTAAAGCTGGGAACCAGTTCACACAAGTCATTCTGCAGAAGGGTCTTTATAGAGTTTTGTTTTGTTTGGTTGCTTTTTTTACTAGTGGAGGTCTGCAGAACTCCAGTTAGATGATTTAAGTCTTAAACATGGCACACGCAAATCAAATTAACTCCTTCATCTGCAAACCAGAAAAGTCTGTTATGCATTGGTTTTTAAATGAAGAAATTTTAAATTGCATCACATGCTCTGTGGACATGGGGCACAGTAGTTGGGAGGCAAACTTTAAGGCAAACAGAAACACACTAAATGCATGTAAGCATCATGCTATGGTTGGATTTATTACTATCAAAGCCTAACAATTCATTCCATTTTGTTAAATCTGCTTTTCAGGTTCAAAACAGAAAATGTGTCCTTGACTCTGCTAAGTCAAGGACTGCTTGACTGAAGAAAGCAGGAAATAGAAGATAACTTTAAGATGAGAGACTCTCACAGGAGCAATACCTTCTGGGTTCTGAGTCCTACTCAGAGGTGATGAGATGGAGCTAAGTCACATGCACAACACTTTCTCTCTACATCTTCAATGTTCCAGAGTTTTCAGGTCAGGCACTCAGCACAAAAAGGAGAGTGTTTACCAGAACAGTTACAGACTGTCTACACAGAGTGTGCATCCTCTGTTTCACTTTCTACCCATTAGCAAGCACGTTAACGCTAGTTGGTGTGACTTCTGATCAGTGACTAATACTAAAAATGCTATTAAAGTGCTTCTTTTCTTGATGTAATTATATTCAGTTATGTGGAACTTCAGCTAAGTCACTAAATCAGCAATGAAAGCTAGCAGTTCTTCCACTCCAAGTATAAACACCTCAGTGTTTTTTAAACTTTGCTTTGTTCTCCAGCAATTTTTTAATACTAATTTTGATGCAGAGTGATAATCATCTGTTTTATCTGGCATCTAAATTTCAAAATTTATTTGACAATTCTTTACATCATGCCCAGGGGAAACCTCTTCCAAATTCTACACTCAAAAGATTTTTTGCTTTCACCCAGTTCAGACAAAGACAAGAGAAACCTTATGAACAAAGTGAAATCTAGGGCCTCGTGCTACCAAGGGAACTTCGTTACAGTGATGATTCATGACTGGTACAAATATATTTCCCAAGCAAGTAGCCTCAGATCAAGAAACCCAAAACATATTTTACATATGTGACCCGGCAGATGATAAAAAACACTGCAGAGATAAAGAGATGCATCTAAGTAGAGACTAAATAAACTAAAAAATCAGTACAAAGTTCTCAATGAGAATTAGAAGCTTTTTGAATTTATTAGGAGAAAAATACATCTACCTTATTAAGAGTTTAATATAATGTAGACACCCTGGATGTTACTATGAAGGATCAGTGGCTGCATTGGTAATTAATAAAAGCCACTTGAACTCACTACAAATCTGTGTTCCTTGACAGATGGTTTCTTCTCACAAAAATACTATCTACACAGGCTTGAAGTGTATTTCAGCTATTAAATTTCTGAGTTATAAGATAAAGCTGTTCCAAGTCAAACAGAAGCCTCCAGACATCACACTGAATCAGTTAGCAGAAGTATGAGCAATCTGACATGTGTAAGTCAAAAATCAAACCGAAAAATCTTCAAGTGAGCTCCTCAAACTCTCTCCTCCCCTTATTCCTTATCAGAACTACAGGTAAATCTTAGATGCTTATTAAGGTCAAGTGCTCTCTCTCTTGACTCATTATAAAAGTAACTATTTGGAAACCACAGCTCACAGGCAATTGTCTGTCTCATTAAATTACTTTAATTATTATGTAATTATTAAATTTAATTTAATTATTTAATTATTATTTAATTCTTAAAGTATTATTTAATTAATATTTAATTATTAAATTAAATTAAGTTAAATTACTTAAAGTTAACTTATGCAGCCATTTGCCATTAATACTTCATGCCCACCTAAGCTGAATGTACTGCTAAAGAAATCAGTCCCACCCTTCTCTCAATTTTTTTGTACCATCTAAAACTGAAGATAACCAAATTTACTTACTGCATCCTTCTCAACACATGCAGTGGGGCAGAGCATAAATTTCTTTGGATGGAAGCACTAGTGAATCATAGAACCATTCAGGTTGGAAAAGACCCTTGGAATCACCAAGCGAATCATCATCCCTACTCTACAAAGTTCTCCCCTAAACCATATCCACAAACACCACATCCAAACCACCCTTAAACACATCCAGGGATGGTGACTCAAACACCTTCCTGGGCAGCCTATTCCAGTGTCTAACCACTCTTTCTGTGAACATTTTTTTCCTAGTGTCCAATCTAAACCTTCCCTGTCAGCTTGAAGCCATTCCCTCTTGTTCTGTTGCTAATTACCTGTGAGAAGAGACCAGCACCAACTTCTCTACAATGATCTTCCAAGGAGTTGCAGAGACTGATGAGGTCTCCCCCCTCAGCCTCCTCTTCCTCAAACTAAACATTCCCAGCTCCTTCAAGTGTTCTTCATAAGATTTTTTCCTCTAGGCCCTTCACGAGCTTTTTTGCCCTCCTCTGTACTCACTCCAGTATCTTGGCATCTCTCTTGAATTGAGGTGCCCAAAACTGGGACACAACACTCCAGGTGTGGCCTCACCAGTGCTGAGTACAGGGGGACAATCACCTCTCTGCTTCTGCTGGTCACACTATTTCTAATACAGGCCAGGATGCCATTGACTTTCTTGGCCACTTGGGCACACTGCTGGCTCATGTTCAGCCTCTTGTCAGTTAGAACCCCCAGGTCCTTTTCTGCCAGACACTTTCCAGCCACACTTCCCCAAGCCTGTAGGGGTGCAC